TGCAGTCTTATCAATATTTCGTTAATGTTTCTTTTTATGTATATTAAGCATGTCAATGAGCTAACTATAATAAATGCATTCTGACACATATTATAGGTATATGTACACCCTAGGATTTAATAACAGAGTATAATTTCTTCTCCTATGATAGATACCCTGGGTCTTTTTTTTTTCTAAAACTATCTTTCTTGGGTGAGTCGATTTCCCAATACTTCTTGCTTCATATCCCGTACTTCTTCTTAGTGTTCCATGATTTCCTCGCTTTTTCCTTCTTTGCTTTAAAGTCATAGAGTTTTCTGTCAGTTATCTTTGCCATCAATCTAATAGTCAATGAGGCAACAGTTTCATCTTATTTCATCATCCAAAAAGAAGCTTAAATTTTACTTCAAAAAAAAAAAAGTATATACAGCAAAATAGAAACTTGAAACTTTCTCCCTTATTTGATAAATATTTCCCGTACTTCTTCGGATTTTCTTAATAATTTCCCATTCTTTCTCAGATTTCTCCGACTCCTTATTAATTCTTCTTCAGACTTGAATAGAAATATTTTGAATAGAATACATTTTTTCCGTGCCTCCTCCGACCTTCTGTGATTTTTTTCCAATCTATGTCTTCCTTGGAATTTATTATAATTTTCAATATTTCTTTGGATTTGCCAAGTAGCATTCCCATGTTGGACCAACATTGGGACAATAACTGAGATTTATTGGCCCATGTCGGATTCTCTATATTGGCCCAATAAAAGATGTGGACATTTTGCAATATTTGTCCAAGAACGTATGTCAATATATACCCAAAAATAAATATCCACGGTGGTACATTAACGTAACCAAATGTTGGCGCAGAAAGAATAATCAATGTTAGATCAAGAACTTTATGCAATTAAAATGACCATTATTGGCCCGAAGACATATCGATGGTTTCCGAGAAAAGTCACATAAGTAAAATAAAGCAGTTCCGAGAAAAATCGCTTTTAAAATTACGTTGACAGAATATTTTGGATTTTTCTAACCTTGATAAGTATTGTCAACTTTTAATGGCTTTAGGTAATTGTTACAAAAAAGTACTCCAAGAAAATGACTCATTATAAAAATTTTGATGATTTAGGAACAAAAATGAATTAGTTTTTCATAAATGTGTCATTTTTCTTGAAATTTTTTTACCATTGTGTAGTAAAATGATTCCAAACATTGAAAGCTATATTTGCTGGGAACAGTTTTTATTAGGAAATTATAATTTTTTATCCATAAATAACATTCTTATTTATGAACATACATTGGTATCTTAAAATAAACATGTAGTATGTACTTCAAGATACTATAGACTACAGACGAAAAGAAAATAGATAGAAAAATAAACCAAAAGTATCTCAAATTATCTTTTTTTTTATAACTTAACTGAACTTAACTAACTAAGTAAAAGCATCTTCTAAACGAAGAGACATTTTTTGCCTCAAAAAACAGTGATAGGTATTTTCAAAAAAAAAAACTAAAGGTTTGTATAAAAATATGAATAAAACTTTGGAATAATGTTTTTTTCCAGCAGTTATAATAGGTCTGTCTTTTTATTATCTTTAATTTTTTGGTTTGCACTGTAGGCTTGTTTCAGTTCCGTTGTTGTTGAAGGTTCATTGATCTTACGAGTGGATGATGTTCGAGCTTTCTTGATTTCAATAGTTTGAAAGCCAGTTTCCGAAAATGATGTTTTGAAAAATACTCTATTAGAGAACTCTTTTTCTACTCTTAACATGGATATGGTAGGTGGTAGACGCTTTTTACTCATTGGGCGTCGTCCGGTGAGATACCACCATGCCAGAATTGAGTAGCGCTAAGCGGTATCACCACGTTCCGCTACTGCGCTGGCAGTCCGGTTCCAACAATGAGTAACAGATAGCATGATGGCGCCTCCAGGATCAAAATATTCCGGAGGTAAAATATCCGACCACTCGGATCTCCGGGCGTCGGGTGATCCTGGGGGTCCTTCATGCAAAGATATAAAGAGAAGATCAAAAACTCAACTCAGAATTGATTTTAGCAATATAAGAGGAATAAGTACAAATATTAATTCAGTTCACCAACATCTTGAAGAACAAAGACCTGACATCCTTGTTCTCACTGAAACTAAAATCAGTTCTGCATCACCTATTGTGAACTATCTTTATCCCGGCTATGACCTACACCACCGATTTCGACATAATTTTGGGATCTGTGTGTACATTAAAAATGACCTTTCATGTCATCGAGAGGAGAAGCTAGAACCAGCGAACCTTGATATCATATGGCTAAAATTCACCTCAAAGTCATCGACCAAGTTTATCTGCTGCCTCTACCGACCGCCAAGTAAGACCGATTACCAAAACTTTTTCGCGACATTATCCGAAAGCTGTGATAGTATACAGTCAAACTATCCACAGGCGGAAATTGTCTTTTTAGGCGATTTCAACGTCCACAATATACCCTGGCTGAAACACCACAACAAAACAGATAACGAAGGCAGAGAAGCAGAAGCTTTTGCCATAAGTTGTGGTCTAACGCAGCTTGTCGATGAACCTACCCGTATCTCAGAAAGGGGCGAATTTGCAGCGCTTTTAGACTTGTTCCTAACCACCAATCCTGACTCGTACACAATTCAAGTAGATGCTCCACTTGGTTCGTCCGATCATAAACTTATAATAACAAAGTGCGAAATGCTCATCCCACCAAGCCTACAACCACTTCCTCGTAAAATGTGGCACTATAAATCGGCAAAATGGAATGACCTAAAACAGTATTACCTGGTTTTTCCATGGCAAGAGGTTTGCTTTAAAACAGCTGATCCCACTATTTGCTGTAATGAAATAACACAAGTAATCTTATCTGGAATGGACGCATATATCCCACATACAACTAAACGTAGAGCTAATGCAAAACCTTGGTTCAACAGCCAGTGTCAAACGGCTGTACAGAAAAAACACAGAGCATATAACCTTTGGAAACGACAACAAACCGCTCAAAACCACACAGAATTTATAGAAGCCAGAAATAGTTGCAAAATTACTATTGACTCCGCTAAAGAAACATACAATCAAAGAATAAAAAACAGGTTGCTGAATTGTCCAAGTAGTTCTAGGTCTTTTTGGTCTCTTGCAAAAGCTGTTGGATCTAACTTCACCAAGTCATCCATACCACCACTTACAGATAAAAATAATCACTTAGCCACAACATCAGAGGAAAAAGCCAATATGCTTGCCCAAATGTTTTCCTCCAACTCTAACCTAACAGTGCCAAACGGAAAAACTCCACCGTTCATTGAAAGGGTTTCCCATAGTATGCCAGAGGTACCCTTTTGTCACAGAGAAATACGAAAATCCCTAAAAAAGCTGGATACAAACAAAGCAATGGGTCCGGATGGCATTCCCGCAATAGTACTCAAAAATTGCGCCAACGAACTCACCCCAACTTTCGCAAAATTATTCAGTTTGTCTTACAGGCAAGGAGTATATCCATCATCATGGAAGTCTGCCGCAGTACAACCCATTCCAAAGAAAGGAAAAAAGACAGATCCGTTAAACTATAGACCAATTGCTCTGCTTCCGGTGATATCAAAAGTAATGGAAAGAGTTGTGAACAATCACCTAACCAAGTACTTGGAAAAGTACAAAATTATCAACGATAAGCAATACGGATTTCGAAAATATAGGTCAACTGGCGATTTACTTACATACGTCACTCACTTATGGCAAAAAGCGATTGAGTTGCGGGGTGAAACAAGAACAATTGCCTTAGATATATCTAAAGCATTCGACAAAGTCTGGCATGAAAATCTGCTCAACAAGCTCAAAGCAATGGGATTATCGCCGAAACTTTGCACTTGGTTTGAAAGTTACCTAAAGGACAGATCCATTTATGTTGCACTGGATGGCCAGAACTCCAACTCTTACCAAATAAATGCTGGTGTGCCACAGGGAGCAATCCTTTCGCCAACTCTTTTCCTGATTTACATAAATGACCTCATAGATAAAACAGTAAATCCACTTTATTGTTTTGCAGACGATGGCAATGTAGTCTCCTCACTCATACCACCCACAGGTCTTTCCGCACGTGAATTCCATCATCTTAGACTAACTCAAATATCGCAGATAAATAACGACCTGGAGATAATAGAGGACTGGGGTAACAAAAACCTTGTACAGTTCAACGCGCAGAAAACCCAAGCAGCTCTGTTTTCAAAAAAGACCAGCACCGGTGAGCCAAACATCATGCTATCTGGAAGTGCTGTCACATTACAGAGTCAGTTGAACATCTTGGGGGTTACTGCAGAGACCAACATGTCTTGGCACAGTCACGTGGCAGATATTGCTAAAAGGGCCTCCCAAAAGCTGGGGGTGCTATTTCGTACAAGACATCTGTACACACCAAGCCAATTGCTGACACTCTACAAAGCCCAGATTCGACCAACTATGGAGTACTGCTCACATATATGGAGTGCAGCACCCAAACATACCTTAATGCTTTTGAATACCGTGCAAAAACGAGCTATCAAGCTGATCAATGACCCCGCACTTACTCGTAACTTGGATGGTCTCGAACATCGCAGATCTGTGGGCGATTTATCTCTCTTCTACAGGTACTATCACGGAAAATGCTCTGAAGAGTTGGCACGTATGATTCCACCGAGAGTAGCACCTACCAGGCGAACCCGTCAAACAGACGGTAACCATGAATTTACTGTCAAACTAGAGGCACCAAGAACCTCATTATATCAGAATTCATATCTCTGGAGAACAGCATCGCTGTGGAATAAACTCCCTGCGACGGTTTTCCCTGCAGGTTACAACCTGAACCGTTTCAAGACCAACATACACCGACATTTCCGCGCACTTGCCGCTTCTCGAGCGTGATAGGACATTTCCTTGCGAGTGCGCATATCCGTAAAAAAAAAAAAAAAAAAAAAAAAATATATATATATGACTAATCCTTACAAGTTCTCCATTTGTGGTTTTGAGGACATTAAATCCTAACCTTGCAGCTAAATCTTTCAAATCTGAAAAGGATTCATGATTTAGTTCACGTACCTCATACGGCGTGCCTCGTTTCTTGGCCGCACGAATGATTGTAACGTATTGTTGCGGAACATAGATGGGTCCCGACCTCAGTGATTTTGTGATTTCTCGCTCAATTGTCGCGTGTACACTATCACCTCCGTTCTGACTATGGCCTTTCACAAGGAACTTATGAGTAATCGAGTTTATGTGCGGATATTTTTGTACAGCAAATAGGTACATGGACATCATAAAACGGTTTTTCTGCTGACCGCAGCAATTGTCTGAATAAAATATGACATCCAATACTTTGTTAGAAGTTTTGCTGGCTTGTTCTTCTAAACTTTGCAGATACAACAAAACGCAGCTTCCAATTTCATTAACTCCACGGTTGGCTTCTGTTTCATCCCAAACATAACATTTAGCTATGTTCCGTGTCAGCTCAAAAATCGTGAAATTAAAAACATTAATTTTTGATATGTAATAAAAAGAAGAACTATTTCCTCTCGGGCATTGCAGAACCGCCTGTAGATCGTACACGGCGACGACTAAATCATTATTCACATTATTCTTATCTCTCGTCTTTTCTTCTCGCGCTAGATCTTTTGCGACAAGATGTTTTTCATACTTCACCCTACACTTCTCCTTTTCTTCTTCCGATGCGTTGGTATAAATGATCCGCAATCCTCGCACATGTCTTTTTTGGGCTGAAAAAAGGAAATATTGCCGGCTGGACGTCCAAAACATGTCTTCAGTACGACGTTCTATTTTGTGTGATCCAAAATTGAACGTTCTTTTAACGACGCACTGGTCATTGTGGTAAGCTGGGGTGTCTCCAAATAGCGAAAATTCAAAAGATACTCTAGTTCACTTATCTAGTCAATTTTCCCCAAATTTCTGCTTTCCATATTCAAATTTTTCTGTCTGAATGTTTGTCTGCTCCCGGCTCTTGAATAATTGTTTTCTTCGGAATATCTCCAAACACAAAAAATTCAAAAGCCTGAAATAGGAAATAATAGCATTATTATTATGTCTACTCTATTAGAAGTGTTCCAGTCCCAGAAGGGAGAAGGTCATGATAGTTAAGGTCATTACAGCCTTTCCAGGCTTTTCCTCATTCACCTGCCTCGCGACCTGGTGTCTCTCTGGCTTTCAGGCCTCTGGATTCCCTTATTCCATGTAGGTTCACACAGTTTGTCGGCGGATTGATCAATCTCATTTTTATCTGGAAGTTCTTTTAGGCAATCTTTCCGCTCTAAACTATCTGCGAAAACTTAAGCTCGTACTTTATATCAGAGAATAACTAGGCAAACCTATTAAATCTGTGAAATAGTCGAATGATGGTTTTCTTCTCACAGATAGGTACTTCGGATTTTTAGAAATTTTCCTTAAATTTCTTCTCTAAATTTATGAATTTTTCCATCCCAATTTTTGTCTATTCCCGGCTCTTGAATTTTTCCTTCTAAATATCTCTACATAAAGAAAATGCAAGAGCCTGGAATCGAAACAACATACTTAAGTCCACTTATCTACTAGATTTTCCCTAAATTTCTGCTTTCCAATTCTCAAAGTTTTCTGTTTAAATTTTTGTCTATTACTGGCTCTTGAATTGTTTACTTCTAAATATCTCTACGTAAAGAAATTTCAAGAGTCTGGAATAGAAATAACATATAGGTACTTAAGTCTACTTATCTACTCCATTTTCCCTTAATGTTTGCCTTTCAATTCTCAAATTTTTGTCTAGTCCCGGCTCTTCAAGAACTTCTTAATACACATATAAGAGCCGGTTTATTCACTTTCTAATAAACTGTCAGGTAATGCAATCTGACGGATAAAAACGTGATATGTAATCCCATTGGTCAACCAATTATCCAGTGACCAACAGGATTATAGATCTGTAAATTTATCTTGCAGATAGTTACCAGCAAGTTGAATAAGCCGGGCCTAAGATAGAGAACATTGGATGTTAGCGAATACAATTTTAATACAAAAACAGATCTCCGAAAAAGTCGTCTGATCCAAATCTATTCAAACATTTAAAATGCTGGAAGATGTTTTCCAGCAGGTCTTTTTTCCTATTTCAACAAACATCCCAAGCAGCAAAGGTTAGTCGTTATGACGTCGATTTTTAATAGATTACTTCGATTAACCAAAATTCGACGTCGGAAAGAGGTTGCAAAATATGACTTGTTCGGGACGTTACGTAGTGGACGTTCATTTGATCCTGATATGAACCAGCAGGTTCAAAAGTTACCATGTAAAACCCAATATGACCCATTCAGAAAAAATATCCTGTATTAAGACGTCTATGAAGCATCCATTTGACGTCGTTGAATTGGACGTATATTTGGTCAGTGTGGATCGATTGAAAAGTAATACATCTACATAGTACATATTATTATCTGATGCATAATAAAATATACAGTGGGTATACTTACATAGAAAAATGATAATTGTTTTGAACTAAGTAGATTTGGCGATTTTTACCACGAATAATGACCATTCTCAAAAGGTTTTTCATGACATTTTCGAAAAAATTCGAAATTGTGCATTTCAGCAAATAAAGATGGAAGGATTTGTTTATCTCAATATTATATACCTAATTGATGAATCATCACTTAAGTAAGAAAAAAAGGGACCAGGGTAATGTAAACAAGCTATTGTACCTTCCTCTTCTTATCTATTTTTATATTTGTCATTCGGCAGTAGACTATTGTGGAGGAATAAGCTATTAAAAAAATAATAATAACCCAAGCTATATGATCCTAACTGCCCTTCAAAACAGAATTTTGGTAAGTTACTTCCAGTTGAGCATGTTTGGTATTAGACATTTTGGCACGATACCATTTAGCTGTAGATGTTTTCAATAACTTCCTCTTACCAATTGAAGTTGCGTTTCACTGATATCCATGGCAACAAATTATGATTTAATTATTTCTTTTTGATAATTGGTGTCCCCTGGGGAGGTCGTCCACCATAATAGGTTAGGATCCCATTTGTTGCACAATTACACTATATAAGGTAAGTGTAGCAGTGGGGCACTACCGAATACCGGCGTGAAATGGTTGAATTATGATTTGCTGATGGGTGTCAGCTACACAACGTGGTTTCAAGTGAATTCTGCTTAATGGGGCTTCAACAGAATAGCTGAATGCTCTTCAACTTTGCCCGGCAAAATTGTTATTGTAAGTATTCCAGATGAAGAGTCAAGTGATCATGTTCTATATTGTAGCTGGAATGAAATGGTCACGTCTCTTAAGGGAAAGAGGAAATTGTGGGAAATTTAATCAAAAATCCATTGCTGCCATTTTCAAGATACGTTTCCGAGTACGTTTCCATTTGAAATTTTGAAAATAAAATCATTTTTGTATCTTGAGAGTTGGGTTACGCCCCCTTGCGGTCATTTTAGAAAGTTGAAATATATTGCCATCATTTTCTCTTGGCCATATTTATGGGATATTTTTTTTGTCGTCAAGACTACGATGAATAGTTTCTGAGATATGGCCGAGTCCCCTTCTTAATCAATCTCCTTATACATACAACGTAGGTATTTTCGTCCTTGTCTGTGTCATGCATACTGCGTGAGTCAGATAAGGATGGGTGTACAAAACCAAAAAGGTTACACAATTTTGTGTTTCGTTACCGTTTCAGTTGTGTTGAGTATATAAACTGCTGGAACTTCGATACGCATAAAGAAATTTTTTTCTCTATTTTTGAAGTCAAATATCTCAGAAAGTATAAGAGATATTTGATTGCGGTTTGAAGCATATTGGGGCGTATTGTTTGGTGTTCCAGGTATATGGTATCGCGCTGATGAACAAAAACGTTATCTACAACATACAGGGTAGACAATAAAACAGTGCAAAGTTTAACAAATTTCAGGATGTCGCCAATTCTTTTCAAACATACTCCTGCTTTTTTTCTGGGTTTGAGAAGAATCAGTAGTTCAATGGTAAAAAACAACTTGAAGGATTTTTGAATAAATCTCGTAGTTTTGCAGAAATGTCAGAAAACGACTTTCATCACCCTGATTCTTTGTCTCAGTTCAACGTTTCCGTCTTTTTTTGTTTTAAAAAGATTTTATATAGGGTGAAAAAAAAGTAAGTTATTACTAATTATTGGGTGGTCCGTAAAGATAATTGCGCCTCAGAGAAACTAGAGACAGTACGCGCCGTAACACGTAACATGTACTGCGATTTATAGGGGGCACAGTTCTTTTTGTCTATTGATATGGTACCAACCTGTGCTTCATTAGACAATTTTTCGCGACGATAATCAACCATAATCGATTATGCTAGATTAGGTGATGTGTCAATTGTGTCATACTCCCCTAACTTCTCCACCATCAAATTCTGGGATTCTAGGATACTCGAGGATCAAGAACACTTAATTTCTTCTGTAAGGACAGACCGAAAATCATCTTTTCTACATTTAAAATCGACGAAAAAATCAACTCACTAGCACAGCCTGAATCGCAATCATTCCATTGAGGTCTGCGGGTGACGTCATCACTATAAGCTGCTGATAGTAACGTTACTCGCAGGCCCAGAATTGGATGGGAAGGGAGTTAGGGGAGTATGGCACAATTGACACATCACAAAACATGCTTGATTATCCTCGCGAAAAATTGCCTATTGTATAACCATTCTGAGAGCAAAATATGATTATATTATGTTTCCTAGGTGGAAAAGCTATTCTGTTCTCGAGACTCCGAGATATTTGGTGAATTATTAGCACGTACCATGTCATAAGGGGAGCTATTTATACAGATGTGGTGAAAAGTACCGGAACGGTCGAATCTCTTTCAAACCCGCTTACAAAACCTGCATTCTCATATTTCATTATCTGGAAGTTTCCGGACATACAAAATTGAATGATTCAACGATATCGGCGCTGCTGCCAGATCTACCAGCTTTGCCCTACATCAGTGTCCAATTTCGTTTGCTCAGAAACTTTCAGATAACGAAACTTGGGAAAGAAGCATAAGTGGGTTTGAAGAGATTCAACCGTTCCGGTAGGTACTTTTCATCTCCCCTGTATAAGTAGCCCCCTTATGATATGGTACGTGCTAATGATCCACGAAATATCTCGGCGTCTCGAAAACAGAATAGCTTTTCCACCTAGGATACATAATATAATCATATTTTGCTCTCAGGATAGTTATACAATAAAGCAGAGAAAGGTTGGTGCCATATCAATTAACAAAGAATAGTGGTGCCGCGAGACGAGATTAGACGAGACTTAAGGTTGGTCTCGTCTCGACATCTCGAGACGAGACCGTAACTTAGTTTCGGTGTCGAGTACCAAAGTCTCGTCTCGTCTCGAATGGTCTCGAGTACTCGAGTTATACATTGTGTCCGGAAAATAGTGTGAAAACTCTTTACTACGTGGTGAAGAACAATTAATTATATGGAATTCTATGAAATGACATACAATTTTTAAAAATTACGTGGAGTTTCGAATAAATCACGTAAAATTTCAAAAGAAAATACGTGGAATTCCGTCAAGAATACATGAAATTCTGTTAAAACTATATTTAATTTCAAGAAATGAAGGGTTACTTCAGTAAAATAGTATGGAATGACGTAAAATTTCTAAAAATGATGTGAAATTTCAAAAGAAAATACGCGAATTCCATTAAAATTACATTTAATTCCAAAAAATGAGGTGTTACTTTAGTGAATTTATATGGAATTCCATGAAATGACGTAAAATTTTTAAAAATGACGTGGAAATCATGTAAAATTCCAAAGGAAAGTGAGCGGAATTTTGTCGACATGAAATTCTGTTGAAATTACATTTATTTCCAAGAAATGACGTGTTACTTTAGTGAATTTATATGGAATTCAATGGAATGATGTAAAATTTTTAAAAATGATATGGAATTCCGAAGAAATCACGTAAAATTCCAAAAGAAAATGAGTGGAATTCCATCAAGAATACATGAAATTTCGTGAAATAACATCTTATTCCAAGAAATGACGTGTTACTTTAGTGAATTTATATGGAATTCTATGGAATGACGTGAAATTTTTAAAAATGACGTGGAATTCCGGAGTAATTGCGTGAAATTCCAAAAGAAAATACGTAAAATTTTGTTAAGAATACATGGAGTTTTGTTAAAATTATATTTAATTCCAAGGAATGATGTGTAATTTAGGTAAATTTTGAATGGAATTCTATGGAATGACATAAAATTTCTAAAAATGACGTGAAATTTCAAAAAAACTACGTTAAATTCCAAAAAACTACGAGATTTATTCAAAAACCCTTCAAGTGGTTTTTTACCATTGAACTACTGATTCTTCTAAAACCCAGAAAAAAAGCAGGAGTATGTTTGAAATGAAATGGCGACGCCCTGAAATTTGTTAAACTTTGCATTGTTTTATTGTCCACCCTGTATGTTGTAGATAACGTTTCTGTTCATCAGCACGATACCATATACCTTGAGCACCAAAAAATGCGCTCCAAAATGCTTCAAACCGCAAACAAATATCTCTTATACTTTCTGAGATATTTGACTTCAAAAATACGCAAAAAATTTCTTTATGCGTATCGAAGTTCCAGCAGTTTAGTTCATTGGGATTATGTGAATAACGGTTTCGCGAGAGTCTGGCTACTTGTATATATATTTATATTCTGTGTACTTTGCCTGCACGCAAGAATATTCACCTGAGACGTCTCGCACGAGACCTGAGACGAGACCAATAAAAGTCTCTTCTCGTTTTGTCGGAGTATCGTCTCGAGTCGGTCTCGAAACCGAGACGAAACCAAGAGAGTCTCGTCTCGAAAATGAGACTATGAGAGTCAAGTCTCGAAAACGAAACTATAAGAGTCTCGTCTCGAAAACGAGACTCTCATGGTCAGTTGGGCACCACTAATAAGATGACGAATACAATACCTAGTTTAAAAATGTTTTTTAAAAATGTGATAGTGGCCCATTCGCTCAAATCGAAAAAAAACGCTCAAATTGGGCCAAGAATGGCCCACTCTTGGTGCCACCAATTTAAGTTTCAATTTCAACTTCTAGAAATCGAAAATTGAACCTTTGTTAAATAAAAATCATGCTGTAGATGCTTAAGACAGTAAAGTTGAAAGTCTACGAAAAGATAACAAAAATATGTGGCAAGCACACGTTATCCCGTCACTACATTTTCTTTCCTTTTCATCCCCCGACTGGAAAACTTTCGAGCACCTTCCAGCACAAAACATAAATTCCCGTTTATTTCCAACTTCCTTACGATAACCTGGGCCCCATTACCGCTGCACAGCGCTAAAGAAATTCTAAATTGTAATACCGGGAACCTTAGTAATCTTTGCTCCATTCCGTGCGCTTTTGCGCTTTATCTGCCGAGGAAAATATAATTCCCGAGGAAAATTTCTATTCAGGAATAGAACTGGACTATGGGGAAATAAGCAGCCGTATCTCGAATGCGAAACGTTTAAAGATGCAAAAGAGCGGCGAGTCGGAAATCTGCATGAGCCTCGGCTGCATGAATTTATGCTCGGATTATCCTCGGATTCTCAAACCCCTCTTATTTTTTTTTTTTGGAGTCCTGAAACGATTTTAATTCGAATATGACTGGAATTTTAAATATTTCTATACTATTTTTGTTTCATCTTTTATCTGTCCGATAACATTTCACCATAGTTTATTTCTTTTGTTGTTCTAATTTGGTTTTTATGTTCCTATTGACATAAATTATATTGTTGTTCTCCAACTTTTTTTATGGTTGATTGTTTGGCTTTAGTTTTGCTATTTGTCTAGTTTATTTTCAACATATAACTTTCGATTTCAAAAAGTCATATACCCTCGCCCCAAAATGTGCTCTAGGATAATCTCTAATAAATATGGAGTATTGCTCCCTCGAATCCATATAATTCCCCACGTGAATGGCACCAGAATGCAATGGGAATTTCTGATGCTTATTGTAATGGCGGTATACGGTCGGGAGATATTATGCGAAATTAGAAATTATGGGATTTGAGGATGGGAAAGCGAAGCCCGAGGGGCGCAAACCTTCATTTCTAGACAGGAATTTATATTAATGGTATAATAATCGTGTTACATAACAATTATTGGATGAGTTATGTTTGATGTTATATTCAAGAGCAATTTTACGTACCTATGTATTTCATCTTGTTCAAATCCTGATGCAATTTTTAACATCATCATCTGCGACAATAACAATATGGATTCCAAGCAGCGTGGCAATCCCCCAACGTAAAAAAGCAAAAGAAAAGTCAAACGAATAGCAATTTTCCGGAATGTCTGTTTGAGAATTCCGATGTTGGCAAAATCGAGTACGTGATGGGAAACCGAAGACGGAAATTTCGAGACGTTATTAAACGATCTAAAATCTAATAATTTAATACGGGTCGTGTTTCGAATGACGTGCCAAGGAAAACTTTTGTTGAAATTCCCAAAACGACTTACCGAAGGGATTTCGATATGCGGTCTATCATAGTTTTCGATGAAACCTTTCTCGATTTCCTTGTTTGCCGGGCTTAAATCGAACACGTTATTTATACGATATTGCCTTTTTAATAAAACATTGAACGAAAAAGGTTCTAATAAAATATAATACATATGGACGGAGTTTTCATCGGAAAAACAATGTTAGTGAAGATTATTAAACCAGTTATCGTAAGCTTATTAGCAATGACGATCTAAAATTAAAATTTCTGTTATTAAAAGTAAACTCATTATAATAATTTGTGTTAGTTAGTACTCAGTTAATCCACCTTCGCATAAATATTTAAGAGAACTACTTAATATGCTAAGAGGCACCCCTTTCAAAAAAAAAAAAAAAACAACCATCGGATCTGGGGAGCGCGTTTTTTTAATGAATACGTCTGCCTTGTTGGCAGAACAATTTCCCCAACAACTATGGCCCCGGTATCCCTCTCGAAATTACACTGATAACACAGGGAATGGCCCGCCGCGAGATGCCTGGAAATTTTCCTATTTTTCAGTTTGCCCAGACTTTTTCAACAGGAACGGACTGAGAATGACAGAACTTACTTATACATTAATTTTTTTTGAATAAAATCTGAAGGAAAGGCATCAAACAGAAAAATGAATGCCTACTTCAGATGCTGTCTACAGAGTGCATCAGGTTTGACTACAAAGATTCTAGCATATGAAAATATGGCTCATTTTGAACAAAAAATGTCCAGCCAGACTTTACAGGGAAATATTTCCGTTTTGCAAAGATTGCGTGATACGGGAAGTGTGAATGTGTAACGATAAATTTATGATTTTCGTAAAATTTTCCATTTCTTCTAATTTCCATTATAAAGTTGTATTTTTGCCATTTCAAAATCAGCAAAATAATTCATAACTCAAGTAATTATTAATTGATTTAAAATGATATTAAAGTATTCACAAAATTTAATTAATTCAATATAATATCAATACTGCCATCTATCCATAATGAGCATAAAAATGCAAATATCAGTTATTAAAAGAAGGAACCGCCATATAGTACCTAATAAATTTGATTTTTAAAATATGATTTTTACTATTTCTCACTGGCAGTCATTCGTATTTTCATTTAAAGAAATTATATTTATCTCACTTTTAGCAAATAGATATATTTCTGTCTTTCTCTAAATTCTGATTCTGAAATAATTATTTTTAACTTAATGAATTAGTGGTTTTGTGTTTTCAACATAACCTTAATTCAAATTATTGTATTTTGTAAACAATTAAGTATGAAAAAATACAAGATTGGTTTCCTGCAGGGTTAAGGTTCTAAAACGCTTACTTTTCTGGCAGAACCACTAAGCAGGCAAGTCGATTTAATTTTTGTAATTTTTTTTCTTCAGATTTCTAGATTTTCCCTTAATATTTTCCAATTTATTTTACCATCAGTGTATACTATCGTTTCACTGTTGAGTTTTACCTGATAAATCTTATCTTATCTACCGAGTTATCTACCTTTAAAATATAAATATTATATTTTAATTTTTTTATTTAATTGTGTGCCTCCATTTTGTGATTGGTGGTCCCACATTTTTTCTGAAGTAAGTCAATTCAGAATTTTGGCTAATGAATAGGTAATGCTGCTCTGGTTTTCGGAAATCGAAATCAATAATTGTTAGTGTGAGATTATTGGACCATTTGCTCTAAATAGAGTCGGTGCAAACCAAATTTGTGTGTCCATCCCTATCAACTTTCTACTGAATCCAGGCAGAGGCCTCTATAGCCATTTTCTGTTTGACTCCTTCAATTATCTTTTCGAGTAAGAAGAGCGCTGGAAGGCTAAAATTTTAAAGTAGAAATCCGGATAGCTCAAAAAATTCATTTAAAAAAAGGTTTTATTTGAAACATCTCAAGAATTTTGATAATTCCTGGATTTAATTTACTTATTTCATCCTCAGCTTGATTTTGTCGTACCTTTATAGTAGGTAACTTAACTTAAAAGGAAAATCTGTCTATTTGGGGAAAATCTAGAGTTTTCTTTTTATCTGATTCAATTTTTCCTACTTTTTTTAAAATCTTACCTGTTTAGTGCGACTGCTAGAAAAACAGCATTCTGCTCAATTATACCGAGCATCTATCTTTAATCTTGCTGTATACTTACCTAATAGTAGATATTGTGAAAAAAATTCACAGTCTTCTTTCCAGTAGTATCGTTCATATATTTAAACAAGAACAAATTCTTTTAGTATTTATCATTCCGGTTCTGTATATACGCGAAATAGGGGATTTCCCATCAGGGAAAACGTAATGAAAGCTTATGCAAATGAACGGCGGAGCAAACGAAAATGGAAAGCCGAAGACGAACGTATTATTGCAAGGGTGTGTTAAATTTCCTAACACCTTCGTTTTTCCGGATACTTTACTTGCTAAGAGGTCCGTTAGGGCAACGTAGGCCCTAAGTAGATTATTTGCCAAATTGGAAAGGTTGCAGCCCCAACTCCAGCCGAAAGATGCTGGCTGGAAAAGTAATTGTGATGTACGTAAATTCAAACAAATATATACACAAAATCAATGTTTGTATACGAATTGCATTTTATGATGATAATAATACAACATAAAATTAAATTTACTTTTTGGCGGACATGCAATTTTCGATGACATGCAGATGGTATCGGGCGTAACGACCGATTTTCCGAAACAATTTTCCAGCTACCGAACCTGCTCCTGCATCAAAATGCACTGTTTTAGTCTCGTTATCGTAGCCAGTCATGAAATTGGCTTTTGTGTTACATTGAGTAGTTCGAATTGCGCCATAAAACTGCCGCCATTTTGAACACAGCGGCATTATGGTAAATTTAGAATTATTGCGCGGAACGGCACAAAAGAATGGGAGAGTTCCAATTTAGATTTGAAGCACGTTTTTGCTGAAAATCTATAACTTCCGTTCAGTGAAAATAATACCGGGAAGGTTTTTTTTTATAAGCCCAGTTCTAATTAAGGTTTTAATACCGTAGCCGGAGAAGTATTTTAAGGCAACGAGAAAACTTTGCGAATTTCCCGAAGATAAGAAGTCATCTAAACCCCGTAATAAAATGGCTGATGACGCTCCGAATTCTCATCCGATATGCAAACTAAACACCGGCTGCTAAATATGGGAAAAATTGAATATAAAGGGAGAGATAGGAGAGACCGCGCTGCTGGCTCAAAGACACGCCACACTATACGAATTCCTTGATGGTTGGATATTGTCTGGAATTCTAATTTTCGAGTTTCAAGGAGAATTGATTTTGTGTGGATAAAAGAAAGAACATGATATTGTGTGTGGAAAGAGGTTCAATATGAATGTAACTTCTACTCTGCTTTTCGATGCTCTTTTTCACCTCTTTCTTCCAGCTTAAATCTCTCCTTCACTAAATTCTTCATCCATCGGTTCGGTTCTCAATGCTTCTTTTTTCAAATCATCTTATCACATTTTTTCTTTAGTTCTGAATTCTCTTTCAGCTCTTTATTAATCTTTCTTTGTGTTTGAAATCTAGAATTTGCAGCGAGAGGATTTTCTTGCGTTTTATTTAATTTTTTTTCCGCTTTTTCTCATCACTGCATCTCTCTTCCGCTGTCTTTGTAGCTGCGCTCTTTCAGGTTTTTTTTTCCTTGTACAATCTTTGGCTGGCTTCCAGGTTTTTTTCTTTAATTTTTTCCCACTGTTTCAGCTTATGCTGCGCCTTATTTTTTTCTTTTTTTTTTTTTTTTTTTCGTTTTGGGCTTATTTCGTATTTTAATCCAGCTCTTTTTCCCAGCTTTTCTGATGGTTTTTCTTTTTTTTTACTTTGTGTGCTGGTTTTCTGGAAGAATGGTGTCTTGTTCTTTATTCAATTCCCAATTTGATTCTGAAACCTACAATTTGTGAAAGGATTTTACGAAGGGTAAACCGCTGAGCAAAATCTGTACACCAGGTATCTCCCTACTGAGGTATATCCCCGGACAACCTCAAGACATCCTTGGACATCCCAGGACATACTCGGACAACCCTAGACATCCTCAAAAATCCCTGGACATCCTCTGACATGCCTTCTCTGATATATTTTTGAGGACGGCCTTTTAAGCAAGGCTCCTAACAAGAGTATTAGTCATTATTACCTTGTGACAGGTTAACAGACCCTACTATGATCAAGTTACTAAGGCTATGATCAATTAGATTAGGTACCTATATTACAGATCGTCGACTATCAATAGTATTGGTATAATGAATAAATATTGTCAATAAGTATCTACCTCGAAATCGATGACGAAAACTTCAAAACCAAACGGAATCGAATTAAAAAAAAAAACATTCCTAATTAGGAAAACAAAATATTCAAAAATACACAAAACTATAATATCTTGAATTTTCAGTCTCTTATAAATTTCTCTAAACAGAGAAAATTTGTGAGCTTAAAATAGAAACGAATTACCTCGTGTATCAATTTTTCTTGTTTCTCTGAATTTTTTTTTCATTGTTTCTCAATTTTTCCCACTCAAAAAAGTTAGGGGGGTAAGAAAACATAAAAAATGACCCTGAGCATGTGGGATTTCAGTGGAGTTTTGTGGGATTCTGTGAGATTCCGTGGGGCTCCTTGGGATTCCGTGGCATTCCAGTGGGATTCCAATGGTATTCCCTAGTTTGTTTGACGAGTGGATGTTTTTAGTTTGTAGGGGAGATCCGCCAACGGTGGTAGCTAGTACAGTGGCCACCCGTTGGTATTATGGCCCTATGATGCTTACTATTAGCGCCCTCTCTTACAGAGGCACCAAACCATGCGTTATTAAGAAAGTTTCAGTCTGGTGTTCACGGTATCATCGCACGTGATTGCAGCTCATTTCTGTTTGTTGTTAATCGTGAAAGCTACATATACGCGTGTTTTTCTCAGTGACTAGCATCCTTACTGGTAGGTACATTGATGTAATTTTATGTTCACTGCGTATATCAACTTAAATAAATCGCATTATAATACTAAAGTAGGAAAAATTCAAAGGAATATTTAGGTTAGAACAAAATGTTACCCTAGGATTTGGTACAGTGGCCACAAAACAGATGGGAACAGCGACCACTCATTTTCGAGAAGCCAAAAGCAGTGGCCACTGTTCCAAATGCATCATTTCCCAATGTTCTCCTAAAGATGTTT